ATAGGGTTCCTTTAAGGGTTACTCTAGGGGCGGTATAAGGGTTCCTTTAAGGGTTCTATAGGGTTTAGGGCTTAGGGTTTGAGGGTCCATGTACCCATATAGTATATACTTAGACCCTAAAGTACCTATATAGGAACCCCTTTAAGGCCTAACTATATACTTAGACCCTAAAGTACCTATATAGGAACCCCTTTAAGGCCTAAGTATATACTTAGACCCTAAAGTAAAGATATAGGAACCCCTTCAAGGCCTAAGTATATACTATATGGGTACATGGAGCCTTTGGGATTGTTTAATGAGCTTTGCCATGGTCTCGGGCAGACGGTTCAGGGCTTAGGGTTTAGGGCTTAGGGTTTAGGGTTTAGGGAAGTGGTTGAAGGGTTCGAGGTTTGGGTTGACAGCAGTAACACGAGCGACAACATCCATGAATGCCCGTCATAACCCCTCGCCATCATCACCGTAATCTTCTTCGTCATCACCATCATCATCACCACCACCATCTTCATCGCCATCACTATCAGAACCACCACCATCATCATCCGCAGCAGCAGCATTACAAACGACATCATGGTCATCATAACCACCACCATGCTCATGTTGTGACTCGTGCCGCATGTTACTTATCAGCAGCATGTTCTCAGAATGTTCTGCTTGTCGTCGATCAGACCACCCCGCAAACTGCCAGAACAAGGATGCGCTGCTCTGGGGTTTAGGCTTATCTGCGAATGCGCACCCTTGATCATCGGACCCTCCCTAAACCCTACAAACCCTGAACCCCGAACTTGGCCCTGAACCCCAAACCCTAAACCCTAACCCCAAACCCCAAGCCCTAAACTTGGCCCCTATTCATGACGTAAAGGCATCCTCTGAAACCGAGCCTTATAGCAGGGCTGGTTCTTTCGAACGGACTAAGACTAAGACTCCAAATTTCAATCACCTCAAAGTAGGTTGTATACTACGACTGATGATATAAATCCTGCATTGCCTTAAGGACCCGGTAATGCAGGATGTATATCCTCAACCGCAGGGTTTTGGGTTTCTAGGTCTCTTCAGTGCCACCCTTGCGGACTATCCCCGCTGAACCTGCTTGCAGAGACCTAAGCCCGGAAAGCCTCAAGTCCAAAGCCTAAACCCCTGAGTCCCATAGCCTAGAGCACCTATAGCGCCTAGAGCCCATATAGCCCCTAAACCCTAAGCCCTATATCCCTAAGTCCTAAGCCCTATATCCCTAACCCCTAAACCCTAACCTAAACGGACCTAAACCCTAAACCCCTAAACCCTGAATCCCTAAACCCCTAAACCCTATACCCTACACCCCTAAGTCCTAAACCCGCCATCCAAAACCCCCGGACAACAACTCTCAGGAG